AATGTCCAGCTGGACAAATTGTAAAGTACAAATTAAATCATTAAAAAAGACACAAAAAGATTAAACAAAATACTTATCTATAATAAGTATTAACTTGTTATAAATAATTAGCCATGTCACTGCGTCACGCCAGAAAAAATTACTGAAAATTCTCAATGCGAGAATTGATTGTAAATTTTAATAAATAAATAAAAAAAATTAATAATAAAATATATAATAAATAGAAAATATTCCGCTTCTTCGGACAGAGTCAATGCGTGCAGGTTTTTGCTGTACGTGAAAAATTCCTGGCGATTTCAATGAAATAACGCGTTGTTATTTTACATCGGAATATATTTGTCGACTCAAGTATCGCATCGTTGATGTAATTTTATCATCGAAATAGAATCTTCTAAATTGTACAAAGAGTTTCACGAAGATTTTGCAAATTCACGTATTATTCTTCAATCTCGTGGCTGATATTGCGAGAGAAAATGTAGAAAAATAGCAACGAACAGTACCTTTGAACAGCGTGAAATCAAAATCTTTCGTTCGAAAGGCATTCTGCCCTATATACAGAGTGTTAAAATAAAAACTAACAATAAGAACTACGTTCTAACTGTTTCTTTTTTCAAAGAAATCTCTATTAAAATCGAAAACCATGAATCCAATTTCGTGGCATTGTAACTCATCATCATCCAGGTCATCTATCATTTGGGGTGGCACGGAACATCGTGAAATCTAACCTATTCCTAGGCCAGCTAACCTTTGTCTTTTTTTCCTCCCTACGTATACCTTGGAGCCCAGGGAACCCTAACTCGCCATTAGAACACGTGCATCTACCAACGTAACAAGTGCCCCATCGACGCTACAAACGCTGAAGAGGGACACAAAAAAGGAACATGGTCCATCATAAAAGGTTTCTAGCTTCGAACAAGCCTAATGATTATCGTAGATTTAAGAGAGAGTCGGTGCCACTGTTCCTCTTATCTCGCGCGGAAACGTTTCTTCCACTTAAATTAGAAGTTTTCTACATTAGAAGTATCATTATACGAATCGTAAAAAAACATTTCTAGCATGTTACTGCGGGAAGATCCATAGATAATTGGGAACCAGAATGCTTACTCTTGTTTCCGATTATCCCTGTTTTTTACTGTTTCTCCAGCGCCATTATATTTTTTCTAACAGACATTTGTTCCTTTCGTGATCGATTTAAAATACGTAACAAAAACGCTCGATCTTGCGTGCACGCTAATTAGTCGCCCCTTTTTACTCTTTTTACATCGCCGTGTTCTTTAAGTAAAATTCCTAGTTTTCAATCGCATTCATAGAATCACGAGAGTGTTAAATAGCGTTAAAAGCCTCGATGCAAATTTTAACAAATAACATCTTAACGCTTTGACTGCCACGTTGGTCGTATCTGACCCACCACAATTGTAAAAATTGTATGAAAATTGACAGTTAGGGTATTTTCAATATAACCGATAAATAGAAGACACTTTGAAGTAAAAAATATCTCATTGAACGATTAAACATTTTTATTGGAACATCGATAAAAAAAAAATGAGAACGAATCTTGCATCTAAAGGTGCACTGTGTCTGCATCCATATCTCTGAGGGATAATCTACGAATTATTATAAACACAGCTTAGAAAATAATCGTAAATGCTGCTTTATAATCGTATAATCGAAGTTAGAAGTGTGCACATACCTTGCTATTATATAGACAACGAGCAAATACCGTTTACCAATATCTTCTACGCGTGTCAACGATATATTCTGCACGATTTGCCTACGACGAAATAACCAATGCTAATGGTTTGTTGAAATAAACGAAGGCTCGTTATAATACGTCGCTATCGACTGTTACCAAGGCGCCACGATGGTCACCGGTGACCATCAATAAGATAAACGATCGATTAGGGAAGAATGTTGTCTTACATCGTCAATTTATTATTATTTTGCCATTATATGCTTCGAATAGTAAAAATACTGCCGTGACGTCCTCAACGAAACACGTAATTTCCGCGTGGCAGTCAAAGTGTTAATAAACAATTACACTGTTACCTTTCTGCCCTTGCGATTTATCAAATATACAACTTTAACTTTCCGCTTACGCTACCTTTCACGCGAATATATCCGAAGCGTTGGAAATCCCCAAAGTCTAAAAGCACACAGGATTATTTCCGAAAATTACAAGATCTCGCGCAAGCGTGCAAAATTCGTGTAAATATTTGGTCGAGAAATTCTCAACGAGAGTGTTCCACTCTCTTTTATGCGGCGTTCGTTGATCAATATGTACAAATTACGCGGTCGAGGGCACTCGATCATCCACTTCCGTTTCACGATCCTTCGAACGAGCCTTTTTCTGCTCGCCGTGAATAAGCAATTTCAGCTTGCACAATAGCTTGAACGTCATCGGGGCCTGCGTAATTCTGTTTCCGCCGTTTATCCAACGAGATTATTCTTTCCTTTCTTTTCTTCTTTTTTTTATTCCGTTCAGACTGTGCGTAGGAAGTAAAGGAATTTCCGCTCGAAGGAAAACTCGCAGTCGGCTCGTTTAATTCAGCCTGCAGGTACGTAACGCTGTTCCACTGCTTCCACGATCGACTATCTCCGGGAAAATCGGTTTTCGGATAATCGCGTATTATGAAACGTTAATGGACGCGGAATACCGCTCGTTGCGTTGAAACGAAGCGGAATCGACAAGGAAATTCGTTAGAGGAATCCTTGCGGCGGAAGAAGAAGAAGCGGAAGAAGCGAAGCGACTCGCAGAGAACAGCATTGTACGTCGTCGGTGCGTCATCACATTTTGTGACGACAATTTTTAAGAACTTTATGCGTTCGTGCAATAGCAAGAATATTTCCGCGCTGTTTCACTGTTCGTTCTGTTTCTTGTTACGGTCGAATCGTATCAACACGTTAAAATAGAACCTTATTGAGTTTCTTGGCAAGTTCGTTGCAATTTTTAAGGAATTTGGTCGACGTAAAAGATCACGTGGAGAAGTTTCTCGCCGAAAAATCTGACAGCTTCTGGAAGGACGGAATATTGCAGTTGCGTGAACGATGGACAAAGGTTGGAAACGTAACTCGGAACGATCTTTCCGAGCGACCTAATATTATTAGGTCGACGCGTGTGAACTGTCCTTCCTTCAAATAGAAACTGAACTTATCTTAACGTATCTTATGTTCTTCTCGTCTACGGTACAACTTTGCTTGAAAGCTAAAAAGCACGAGAAATTTCAAAATCTCTCAACGAACGAATCTATCCATATATAGTTCGATGTATGAGAGACGAAAAAGTACCGCGTAAAATATTCGAACTGAAAGGAAGAGAAAGTTTTATCTGCGTTCAGAAACCACTTCAAATTTCATCTCCAAAGACCAATTGAAGACGTGTACCAATCGTACGCTGTGCCCAGTATTTTTGTTTTTTTTTTTTTTTTATTATTTAATTTGTACTTTACAATTTGTCCAGAACGCCCAGTTAACGAAAATATGTGGAGAAATATCTGGTAGAAAACACAAGAGCGCATCTCTGCGTGCATCAGAGCGTCTATCTCTCGCTTGGATCTACGACAGGGCCTTCACTTTCCTGCTGTACTCTATCACGGTGCCCCGTCTGGCCCAGTCTGACCAGCTCTCTGAGTCACCCTTGCACGTGTTCGATTTCAGCCCCTCTGAACGTTGCTTATCCCGCTGGTCAAGGAACCTCCGAGATCCTTGGCGAGCGAGCTCTTTTTCTTGGCAGACCGCTCCGCCCACAGGACCCTTCCAGCTCGAGAAAAGGATCAGAGGGGCCAGAAAGACCCATCAAACAGTTTCTTCTGGCGCTTACATTGTCCGCTTCTATCCATCGAAAAGCGAAAAAAAAAAAAAGATCCAGCGGAAACTACGTTCATCTTGCGAAAAGTCATTGTGACTTGATGGACCTATCTGAAAGTTTCGCTTGTAGAATCGACAATGGCCATGGCCGGCTGCAGGCTTTCGTATTATCGCAGAGGAGCGTAGATGCTCCGAGGATGCACGTAGGCGGTGGACATTTCAAATAAGCCAAGTTAAGGAAGAATCGAACTGTGGGACGT